TTGTTTCTTGTCTCATTTGTAGCCTCCTTTTTTCTTTACTACTCTCGAGTTTTTCTTTTCACCTTCCCTGTTTTTAGTGCTTTTATTTTCTCTTGTACAGCTCTATTTTCCTGTTCCTTTTTTTAAAGTATTATATTCTTTTTTTCTTGTTGTTGCCCATTTTATTTTTTTCTCCTTTATTATATGGTTTTTGCTGTTGAGTGTTCTGTTTTGTTTTTGCCTTTTACCCCACTCTATGGGAGGCAGCAATCATACCCATACAGCTCAGTCACAACTGACCCCTCTGTAACTCCATCCACTGGGTAAGAGCCAATACAAACTCCTATACCATCTGATCAACAATATATATCAGCCAACACCAGCCAAAACGCACCCTAAACTAAGCAGCATGAATAACGAACGGAAAATGGTGCAAACAATTTCATTCTCTAACCACACCAACCATGAGACAGGTGGTGACAACCTAGGAACACACTACCACAAAATCATCAATTAAATATAAACACAATGGCACCACAATGTCTTGCAGACAACAGAAAATTTTAGCTCTCACAAAGAAACAAAAGAAAATGGCCCACACAAATGATCAAGATGCAGAGCCAGAAAACATTTTTGAGGAATAAAAGGTAATAGAACTACCCAAGAAAGAATTCAAAAGAATGATATTTAGGTACTTCCAACAGACTGACAGAAAGATTGAGGAAAGCAAGGGGTCACAGAAAAAACTTGAGAAGAATTTAGGAAAACACTACAAGAACAAACAGACATAATAAATGCAAACTTTGAAACAATACAAAACTTGCAAATTGAAACCCAGAAGATTATTACTAAGAGCTCATAAATGGGCTTTGAAAGAGCAAAGGAGTATAGTTTACTCAATGGAAGCCTGAATTAGTGACCTTGAAGATAAAGCTCTCAATACTAGAAAAACATTCTGAAAAAAGAATGAAGAAATCAGAAGAAAGCCTGAGATTTATGTAGGACACCATGAAGACGAATAACATACAAGTGATAAGACTTCCAAAACAGGAAGACACAATAAAAAGCAAAGAGAAAATTGTCAAAGAGTTGCTGAAAGAAAATTTCCCTAGATCATGAAAGATGAGAAGATATGCATACAAGAACTGAACAAACCCCAAACAGGATAGACACCAAAAGAAAATCACCAAGACAAATCATAACCAATCTTTCCAAAACCAAAGACAAAGAAAGAATCCTGAGAGCAGCTCAAGAAAAAAAAGAAGTTACTGACAAATAGAACCAAGACTAAGCTCTAATTTCTCAGCAGGAATTGTGCACGCAAGATGGCAACGAAATGATATATACAAAACTCTGAAGAAACAACTGCCAGCCAAGAATTATTTGCCCAGCAAAGTTGCCCCTCAAATATGACAGTAGAATTAGGGACTTTTCAGATAAACAGAAATTATAGAAATTTGCAATAACTAGACCAGCTTTGCAAAAAATACTAAAGGGTCTTCTTTAAACTGAGAACTAACAACAGCAGACAGCCTGAAATTAATATACACGAGACCACCACCCAGAACTCAATCCAGATATGTTGTTGTTAAGTACCGTGGAGTCGGTTCCGACTCATAGTGACCCTGCACAAGGTTTCTGAGGCTGTAAATCTTTACGGGAGCAGAACGCATCATCTTTCTCCCACAGACCCACTGGTAGTTTTGAACTGCTGACCTTGAGGTTGGCAGCCCAACTCATAATCACTACACTACCAGAGCTCCTTCAATCCAGCTATAGAAGTCTCCAAAGTAAAACAAACCTACAAGACTAAGAATAGGGAACTGGAGTTATCAATGTATAATGAAGTCAACTTTAAAGCAAAAAAAGGGAATAGTGTAAAACTTCTAAATGGTTAAGGCAGTAAAATAGATTTCAAGATAAAAGAGGCTGATTTAAACAGGGGGGAAAGTTAATATACTACAGGATAACCTCAAAGAAAACGAATACATTTTCATATCAAAATGAAAAAGAGGAAAATCAGAAAGATTTAGTAAACATTAAAACAAAAGCAAATAAAGAAAATCCACAAGCAAAATGAACTCAGTGCAGCAATTTATGTGAAACAAAAAGACTAGCAACAGAATCCGACCACATTACATAGACTCCTGTCAACCTGGAGATGACAGAGAGAAGAGGAAGGGCTGCTTGCTCCAAAGCATAGTGAGACCTGGGGACTCCTAAGCCCATGGACAGGGACATAGTCACAGAGGGCTAAGAGCTGAGAGTGAAGCATCCAACTGATATGAAGTGAGGGGAGATGTACAAGAAAGCCCAAACTTGCAGACATCTGACCTAGCTTCAATGGCTGGATGAACAGAACTCAACTAGTGGAAGATAAAAAAAAAATTTTTGATAAAGAAAATAAGTATAAATCGCTACAATTTAATGAACTTGACCTATACTTACTAATGTAGTAGCTTAAAATACCAACCAAGAGGGAAGGAATCTTCACAGCAAGGATCATTCCCATCCCCTCTGTGTACATGATTGATAGGGGTGGGTAACTTAGACACTGGCTATGTAAAATGGGGGGGAAGGGGGAAGGTATAAAGGCACTAAGTAACTGGCTTACAAGTTTTTAAGAGGGAGGTTAGTTTCAGAGTGTGCAGGGGAAGGTAGAATCCCCACTGAATAGGTTTCATCTTGTCTAGATGGGTCTGGTGACAGAAGATGGGGATAAAATTCTTATGCTTCAATAGTGAATAATTGTTATCATGACTAATTGTGACTGTCACAACTGTAAAGGTAGAAGTTCTGTCACAAAAAGGGTGGGAGGGTAGTTAATCTTATTAGTCCAGGAACAGAAGACCCTAGGACCATCAAGGCAGAAGAGCAGGAGCGGACTGTGGGACCCTATCCAGAGAAGCAGCAACACTAGAGAAGAAGAAGAAAAAAAGATTAGCAACACCACACACACACAAAACACACAGTAAAATTACAATTAGTTTATACTGCAAAGCCATTTGAACTGCAAGCTTGGCGGTTCAAGTTCACCAGCTGCTCATAGGAAACCCTCTACAGGGTCGCTGTGGGTCAGAACTAACTTGAAGGCACTTGACAACAACATTGATAATTGCAGTGAGTGTAAATGGATTAAATCCAACAGTCATGAGACAGAGAGTAGCAGAATGGATATAAACTTTGGTATCTACACACAATGGAATACTATGCAACACTGAAGAATAATGACAAATCTGCTAAACACCTCAACATGGATAAACCTGGAGGACATTATGCTGAGTGAAATTAGTCCATCACAAAAGTACAAACATTGTATGAGACCACTGTTGTAGAAAGCTAAGAAAAGTTTTTCTTGCTAAAAGAAACATTCCATGATGTTTACCAGAGGTAGGAGTGAAGGGAAAATTATTCATTGGGTAGAGGGTCGACACATTAACTTGAGTGGCAGGAAGACAATATACAACATGGGGAAGGTTGGCACAGAAAAGATGAAGGTAGTAGAAGACACAGGGAGGAGTGCAAGTGTTAAAGTGCATAAAGCAGCTACTATAAACTGACGGTACATGAAAGGGCTTGCAATCAATGTGATGACATGAAGTGTATGATTTTGTTGAATGTGGGACTGATGGTCTGTTCTGTATGACTTGACTCAACTAACAATAAAAAGTTCAGAATAAATCAATAAAATGTAATTACAGAAAAATGTACAAACCATTCTCAAATTTCAGGTTGCTCTCCAGATATGATTCAAGGCCAATATATGGATCACTTCCTAAGTGCTCTCCTTTGCTTGCATTACAAGAGACTGATGTAATACCCTTTTCTCAAAAAGGGAGACTTTTTTCTCCTCTGAAGCCAGACTATCATGACTCAGTTACTTGCCCTAAGACACAAAATACACCCACACACAGTTGTTGGTGCAGAGTATGTTTTATTTATGTCTTGATATCTGTACAGATGTTTCTGTCCTCATTTTCATATTTATCTCTGTCTTCTTATTGAATTGTCCAATTCCTGAAGGATGAGGTCTATATCTGTAACTCTGCTTGTGTACACTCAGCAGAGCACAAGGATCAAGGGGACATCTGACATAGGTTTCAATAGTAATAATAAAACACAACAGTAAACAATCATTGCAAATATAAAAGTCAACAACAGAGGTAAAAACACAAATCTGTATTTTAAAATGCTGCTATACGTAATTTGTAAAATCTACTCTTTAGATTTATGTATGAGATTATATTTTAAAATGGGAGAAATTATAACTGCTAATAGAAGTAACAATGCAAAAGCACAGTAACAAACATTTCACCCTGTTGGACTAGAAAACAGTGACCACCAAGGAAAACTGAGAAATACAGGGAAGAGAAATCATCTGTATTACCTATTTAATCTTAATGTTAAAAAAAAAATCCTTTTAACCATACTTGCATTGATGGTACAATGATAATTTTGGGGAGCAAAAAACCCCCAATGACACAACTCATTACAGCAAAAGAACCGAGGGGACTTGAACCAGACCATACTTGTAAGGTTAATTCAAAAATGGAGCACAATAAAAATGTTCTGAACATACACACACAAAAATAAAGCACCCCTTCTCAATTCAGAGACCTAAGAGTAAGGTGGAAAGCACCTTCCCCCAGTAAACCAGTAACCCGAAAGGTTAACAGGGTTAGCCTGGTAATTAGCATAGCAATTTCATGGCTTCACAATACATAATTAATGACAAGTAACCAAACCAATGATCAAAAACACTGAAGAGTACCTTTCTTTTGACAATGTGATATTAAAGTGCTGCCTATGGACATTTTATAATGAAGAATTGTTTAAAGTTTAAATTTTTATTGTAAAAAATTGACACCATTAAAACCAACATGATTATTTTCCATTCATTCAATAACTGAGGTAACAGTATTATAAAAATATATAAAAAATTCTAAATTCATAATTACAAGTATGCTAATACCTACACAGCTACTATAAATCGATTATTAAAAAAATAGTTTTGTTTCCTTAAAAACACTTGGTTCATTTACCATTTAACTTCAGATAGCTAGTTATCTGCCATCCTGAACTACAAAAATAAACACAATGAAAAATAGCAATGCCTAGACTCTGGGTTTCTTGTTAGGTGGATCCTGAAGACTAAACTTTGGAATTTCACCAGAAGGGGCATATGGAATTCTCTTGGAAGACACCTTTTTGCCAATTGTTTCAATCTAGGGAAAAAAATCAATTTAGAAAGAACTGTTAACAATTACAATACATAAATGTAAGAATCACATGATGTAGTATAACAGGAGGTGAAAACCTAGATTATTTTTTTTCTTTTTATGAGCACAGAGAGTTTCTCGAGTGGTCTGGGTTGCTATTGGTTTCCTCACTAATTTTTGTTAAGAGTCAATCTACACTCTACTTTCCAAAGTCATATCTACACACACACACACATTACTACTGCTCCCACTAACAGGCCCTCAAACACTAAAGAATCACAGGCCACTAATGTTTTAGTAAGGAACGCTGGTGGTGTAAACGGTTAAGCACTCAGCTGGCTAACTGAAAGGCTGGTGATTTGAACCCACTCAGCACCTCTGTGGGAGAAAGACCTGAAGAGTTGCTTATGTAAAGATCACAGCCTAGAAAACCCTATAGGGCAGGTTCTACTCTGTCTATGAGTTGAAAATTAACCTGACAACATTATTTTAGTAGTATGTACAAAAACATTTAATTGACCAGTTTTCAGTTAGCTCGTATTTTCTCTCATATTCTAACTTCATTTCCATTTCTCTTATCCCCAAAACTTGCAGAAGCAATAATAGCACAATTTTAAGAGTTCAGGCTTGGAGTAGAAATGCTAGCTGGAGTCCTTACTAACACCTGCTGTGTTTCTGCATTTATAAAATGGTCTAAGTAACATCTACTTCAAGAAGCCCTGGTAGCATAGTGGGTTATGGATTGGGCTGTAAACAGCAAGGTAAGTAGTTCGAATCTACCAGGTGCTCCATGGGAGAAAGATGAGGCTTTCTGCCCCTGTAAAGCCTATATAAGGTTGCTATGCAACTGACCTGATGGTACACAAGTGCCTACCTACTTCAAGGGGTCTTGGTAAAGTGTGCTTAGCATGCATGTTTGGCACACAGTCGGCCTTCAATGAATGGTAGAGTAAGATTTTGTTTTGCATATTACATTTTAAACTTTCCCCCATATAATCCAATTCACCAATCTTATCTTTAAAGGTACCACTTCATTAATAGTCATAAGCTTATCTCCCCACGCACTATAGAAGCAATAAGTGATACCACTCAATTTTCATACAGTTTGTTCTGAATTAAGAATTAATAATGAATTCTGATTCAAACCACAAAATGAAGGCTTCTGCTTTGCATTAATTATCTATATAGTGGTTTATAAATTCTCTTTAGTGATTCCATCTTAAACCACTTTTTATGTCCATAATAGAGAAAGGTAACTTTTGCAAGAACTCAAATTCATTTTAAATTGTATTTTTTCTACATATCTTCTCCCTTGTTGTTGTTGTTAAGTGCCATCAAATCGATTTGACTCAGAGGAACTTTGCATGGGATTTCTGAGGAGCAGCTGGTGGGTTTGAACCACCGACATTGTAGTTAGCAGTCCAGTGCTGATCCTACAGCACCACACCAGGACTGCATCTTATGTGAGTAAAATAGGAAAGAGAGAAAATGTGTCCATGCCTTGCAAATAACCTTTTGAAAACAACATATTTGAATTTGAGTCAAGTTATTACTAGGGAAGGGTGGGATTAAAAAATTCCCCAAGGTCTTTGATGGGAGTGTTAACAGACAAGGATGCCGTCGTACTCTTGGATCCTCAGTGAGTTAAAAATGGACACTGAGTTCTATATAAGAAGGGAACTTCAGCAAGGGACAGGTAAGAGAACCGAGTCACATACTACTGAATAGTACATGAGACCTTATTGCTACCTCTCCACAACAGCTGCCTCGGAGGACAGGCTCACTGCTATTAAACATGTCCCATCCCTCTCCTGCTGTGCTCGGGGACTGACTATACTGACAGCAACCTCTGAGCACATTATCTTTAACCTCTCTAACCTCACTCCCACCTTTACCCACTCTACCCTGACCCCTGGTTTTAATACTTCTGGGATCCCTGATCAAACTGAAATAGAAATAACATCTACATGTACTGTTCTGGGCAGGCTGAGAGGTTTCTGTCCACTCTAAAAGATCCAGAGTGAACTGGCAAGGTTTGAATTAGAAGAGGAACAATACCACTGCAACCCCCACACTCTTCACTCAGAGCTTTCACAGCATAGGGTGGGAGCTGAGCTCTGAAAAAATGGCATAGGGCAAACACCTGGGGGACTGACCAAGGACTCTTTCTTTCTCTGGGCATCCAGTGGTGTGGATGGGGTGGTAGTTCTCTTGCCAACACTGAGCACGTCCACAATCACCAACAACCACAATCACACTTGACCCTTGTCCTAATCCTCTTTGGTAAGAGAAGACTACAGAGGAATGCCATCAGCTGGGAATAACAATAAACACTGATGACTACACAGCTTTCAAAACCTAGCTTGGATAAGCTTAATGACCTGAAGTTAAGACATGGCACATTCTGTCCCTAGGTACGGGCAGCTGATGACTCTCTGGATACGTTACACATTTAGGGACAGAGTAAAGTAGTTACAAAAATCCCATGAAAGCTTCCCTAAAAACCAACATGTTGTCCTAGAGCTACGTTATTGCTAAAGGCAAATAAAAAACATTTATCTTGACTGACACCTTAATGTCACTAAGCCTCAGTTTCCTCATTTATAAAACTCAAAACAAAGTCATTAAAAAAAGGAATGACCACACAAACACAGTTCACAATCATTAGTACCTGGAAGCCAATAGTTTGTAGTTCATTGTGAAGCCCATCCAGGACACGTCGTCCATCGAAGATAAAAGCTGGCTTCAGCATTTTTTTATGAATGCGTTCATAATCCAATTCCTGTAAAGACAGAGGCAAAAAAAAAAAAAAAAAAATTAGAACAGGTACACAAACACACACTAAACCCCAACTGAAACCAGAACGCCTTTCTTGTTAAGTGCTGTGGAGTCGGTTCCAACTCATAGCGACCCTATATGTAGGGTTCCCAAGGAGCAGCTGGTGAGCTTGAACCACCAACCTTGTGGTCCAAACAGACAATGCAGCGCAGTGCATTAATCCTCAGTGCCACACTAGGATTCCAAGACACCTGTTGTTGTTATGTGCTGTGGAGTCAGTTCCAACTCATAGTGACCCTGTACAGGGTTTCTGAGGCTGTAAATCTTTATGGGAGCAGAATGCCTCATCTTTCTCTCGCGGAACAGCTGGTAGTTTCGAACTGCTGACCTTGTGGTCCATGACCCGATTTTAGAACTTCTTTAATAGCATTTCTGTCACCTCACCTTAAACATGTCCCACTCAGTACAAATAACAACGGCATGGGCACCATCACATGCTTCATATGGATCCTTGGAAATGGTCACGAGTCGGGTCACTGTAAAACAATAGATTGGTTCTTTAAATTAGGCATTTTAACACCAGGAAGTCAGAGGAGTTGAGTGTCAATGGGGTCAATGATTGTAACCTATTCCAGTGTAGATACTTAAAAGTTGTTGTTGTTAAATGCAATGAAGTCGGTTCTGACTCACAGTGACTCTATAAAGCGTTTCTAAGGCTATTAACTCTTTGTGGGAACAGAAAGCCTCTCTTTTTCCCATGGAGCAGCTGGCAGGCTCAAACCGTGGACCTTGTGGTTTGCAGTCTTATCATATGGGGCTACCGCGCTCCTCAATTCTAAATGACTCTCTTGTTTATGCTGAAGCCAACCCATTGACAGAAGTGGAACAGTCTGGTTGAAGTGCAAGTCAGGGTAATGGTAGAGTGTCTGGGGCACCCTATAATCTCACACCAGAAGGATATTCTTGGGATCTCTGGGGTTTTATGGAACACTCTGGAAAAATCATTAGACTAGCTCATAGCTGATCACTTCAAATCAATGCTTAAGAAGCAATGCTGAGGCTGAAAAGTGGGCACAGGATTAATATAAATGAGGAAGGCTAAACAGGCAAATGTTTCTACAAAAAAAGCAAGTTTTGGGACCTATACTCAAACCTTACCTTGGTCATCCTCTGAAACTCCTGGATGAGAAAGATCCACAACGATTTGTTCCCTTGGTACTTTTGGGTCATATATATGGAGGTGTGCACCTTCATCCATCAGATATTTGCTGATATATATACTAGAAGATTCTCTGAAGAGGAAAACATATAAGTATCTTGCTTAGCTTTAAAATGCACTGTATTTTAATATTCAGGGGCTTTAAGATTCAGATTAAGATTCTATTTCTTAAACTGGCTAAGTGATGAAATAGACGTTTCCTTTAATTTTAGCCTTTATACTATATTCACACACAGACTGTTGTTGTTAAGTACTGTCAAGTCAGTTCTGACTCATAGTGACGCTATGGACACAACATGAAATGCTACCTGGTCGTGTGCCAGTCTCGTAATTGTTGCTATGTTTGAACCACTGTATCAATCTATCTTGTTGGGGGCCTTCCTCTTTTTTGCTGTCCTTCTACTTTACCAAGCATGATGTCCTTCTTCAGTGACAGGTCCCTCCTTCTATCTTCCATTAATGCTTCCTGCACCACTCAATATTTTGCCATAGAATCCTTCAATATTGTACTTCGATGTTTGCATTTTTTCTTCATTTCTTTCAACTTGAGGAATATTGAGTGTGTTCTTCATTTGTGATTTTCCAACTCCAGGTCTTTGCATTATTATAATATTTTACTCTGTCTTATCAAATTGCCCTTTGAAATCTTCTGTTTAGTTATTTTACTCCGTCGAGTTGATTCTGACCCATAGCGACCCTATATAGGGTTTCCGAGGAGCAGCTGGTAAGCTTGAACTGCCGACCAAGCAGTTCAAACAACTTAGCAGTCTAGCGCATTAACCCACAGCGCCACATAGTTGCTTTATATTCACAAGCAAGTTTCAGAGTCTTTTCTGACATCCACTTTGTATACATATATATACATTTCATACACACGCATACATCTACCAATCACACAATCAGGATGAGTAGTTGATACACTATCAGTAGGGACTGAAATATTTTAAATAACTGATACCTCGTATCACCAGTGTCCTTTTTGAATGCAAACCCCAAAATAGCTATCTTCTTATCAGTCACGGTATTAAACAGACTATCTATAATCCGGGAAGCAAACCTCCTTCTCTGGTAGTCATTCATGTCTATGACCTGAAATTACATGTATAATTGTGCAATGATCAGTAGCAGCATATAACATATAGCACTCAGATTTTATAGTGAGCACTCTTTCATGATTATAAGTCTTCCACATTTACTAGAAGCGAAGATTGACTAACTTCTTTAGTTTGTATAGATTTTTAAAAAGGGGAGAAAGGACTCCTTCTACTTCCTGAAAGCCATCCTAAATATTTTTCCGTCCCTTTGGCTGGATGAATGGAAGTTTGGGAAGCACAGCTAAGGGTTCCTTTTTAAGAATATCTGAGTCCATCAATGAGCCAACCTAAATACGGTATACAGAAAACAGTGGTTCTTCTTAGCCACTTCTTTAAGTGTGAAAACAAATCTATAAACAATCAAACCCTGAAAGATTCCCAGATATGCTTACCCCTCTACCTCCTAACTTTCCAGCTCTCACCGAAACTGAGCGTGAAGAGACAGTGGACAGGGTCACCAGGGCACCACAAACACTCAGCAAAGTTTTTAATTAAATGTTCTAAGTCTTTAATCACTTAATCTGTTACCCTACCAAAAATTTATAACTAAGACTTCAGTTGGTAACCAGGTGAATGTAAGGAGAGAGAGGTTTTGTGTGTGTGTGTGTGTGTTTTAAAGTTTCTATGGGCTATCTCAAACTTGGAGAGCTGGAAAATTAGCCCAAATATTAGAAAGTCAGCCTTTACATTTCATATGCATTTTCCCCACAATGAACAATAGGGCCATTATGCTGGATTGAGTGAAGCAGAACTAAAAGTGTACATTTCTCTAAATGATGTGCATTTCCTTAGATTCTCACCAATAATCTATTGCTGAAATCTGAAAAAATTTTAAATTGGGGAAAATATTTAGGAAAGGAATTGGTCTTGATTGATACCTTAATGTCACTAAGCCTCAGTTTCCTCATTTATAACCAACCAGAAGCCATAAAATCTACTCTGACTTATGGTGAGACCCCATGTATGCTAGTGTAGAACTGTGCTCCAGAGGGTTTTCAATGGCTAATTTTTCAGAAGTTAATTGTCAAATCGTCCTTATTACCACTTCTGGATAGGCTTGAACCTCAACCTCTGTTAGCAACCAAATGAGTTAACCATTTACACTATACCAAGGGCTCCTCATCAACTATAAATGGGAGATGATATTAGTGAAGAGGGCTAAATAAACATTAACTCTATTTCCTAGAGTTCACTCAACACTCCTGATTTGTGAAGACTCAAAAGAATTTTAGTTCTGTGAATCTGAAAAGGATAAAACAAGTATTAAAACATGTAAACCACTTGAAAAAAATGTGACATAGGTTCTCCATTTTTTTGATGTTATGCCTCTCAAGATGACAAAGGATTAAAATTAAGAATGACAGCTTTTGCTTTACACTGGGAGAAAAAGTAGTTAAATAATTAGAAGAAATACTGACTTATCAGAAGTTTCCATCATAGTTGATTAGTAAAAAATGACAAAAAACCCCACAGAAGTCTAATAAATAAATAAAAACAAACTGAGTATAATAATGGTTGAGGTCCTGGAATAAGAAATTCCACCCAAAACAGACAAGAGTGTCAGTTTTAATTAGAAGGTAATCAAGAGTTGTTGACTACAAAAATACCTGCTGCCAATAACGAGCTACTTCAGGCAAATTTAGAGCCTCACAGAGATAAACCAAATTCAGAACATCTTTTTGAAAGCAGCTCCCACCAAAACCTGAAAAAAGAAAATATTCTGTTTAAGAACCACACACCAAATCATGTGACAAATTCTTCATACTAAACCAGTAGTTAGGAGTTTTAATAATTAAATTCAGATGCTGGAAAACATGCTCACAATCTTTCCTTTGGTTCAGCCTATTGTTGCAGCAACTGTGTCAATCTATCCCCTTGAGGGTCTTCCTCTTTTTCACTGACCCTCTACTCTATCAAGAATGATATCCTTCTCCAGGCACTGGTCCTTCCTTATAACATGTCCAAAGTAAGTGATGAAATCTCTTCATCCTCACTTTTAAGGAGCATTTTGGCTGTACTTCTAGGACAAATTTGTTTGTTCTTCTGGTAGTACATGTTATATTCAACATTCTTCACAAACACCATAATTCAAATGCATCAATGCTTCAATCTTCTTTAATCCTTGTCTAGCTTTCACATCCATATGAAGCAACTGAAAATACCATGGTTTGAGTCAGGTCCTCAAGGTAACATCTTTGCTTTTTAACACTTTCATAAAATATCAAAGATGGTAAAGGCCTCCAAAAATATTGGAAGGTCTGCCTCAAGTCCAATCTAGGAAAGGTTCTATTTACCTTTACACTAACCTTAATATTTACCTTCAAAAATACTTCAAAAGGCTACATTTCTATAAATGTATTAGCTGTTGTTGTTAGGTGCCATTGTGTCGGTACCGACTCATAACGACCTAATGCACACCAGAATGAAACTCTGCCTGATCCTGGGCCAACCTCACTACTGTTGCCATGCTTGAGCCCACTGATGCTGTCACTTGGCCAATCCATCTCATTGGGGGTCTTCCTCTTTTTCTCTGACCTGCCACCTTACCAAACATGATATTCTTTTCCAGTGACTGGTCCCTCCTGACAGTATTTCTCAAGTACGCGAGATGAAGTTTGGTCATCCTGGCTTCCAAGGAGCACTCTGGCTGCACTTCTTCCAACAAAAATCTGTTGGTTCTTTTGGATGCCCATGGCACTTTCAATATTCTCCTCCAACACCATAACTCAAGAGCATCAATTCTTCTATGGTCTTCCTTATTCACTGTCCAGCTTTTGCATGCATTATGAGATTATTGAAAATACCATGACTTGGGTCAGGCACACCTTAGTCTTCAAACTGACATCTTTGTTCTTCAACACTTTAAAAAGGTCATGTGCAACAGATTTACCTAATGCAATATGTCTTTTGATTTCTTGACTGCTGCTTCCATGAGTATTGATAGTTGATCTTAGAAGAATGAAATCCTTGACAACTTCAATCTTTTCTCCTTTGATAAGAATGTTGTTTATTGGCCCAGTGGTGAGGATTTATGTTTTCTTTACATTGAGATGCAATCCATACCGAAGGCTGTGCTCTTTGATCTTCATCAGTAAATATTTTAAGTCCTCTTCACTTTCAGCAAGCAAGGTTGTATCATCTGCATATCGCAGGTTGTTAATAAGTCTTCCTCCAATCCTGATGCCACGTTTTTCTTCATATAACCCAGCTTCTCGGATTATTTGCTCAGCATACAGGTTTAACAAGTATGGTGAAAGAATACAACCCTGTCACACACCTTTCTTAATTTTAAACCATTCACTGTTCTCATGTTCTGTCCGAACATGGGAATGCCAAATATATTAGTAGGAAAAGCAAACAAAAGGGAGGGTTTTTTTCCTACTTGCATAAATAAGCTGTTACTTAGATTATATCACTGTGATCTACCATATTTACTATACCTAAATGTTTTAACTAAATACTAAGTTATTCCTCCTTAAACAGTGACCAATGTTTATCTCACCTAATTGTTGTTGTTACTATTAATTGCTGAGTTATAATGACCCTACACGGAGTCCCAGTGTGGCACTGTGGGTTAATGTGCCAGACTGGAAAGCCATTTGAACTGCAAGGTCGGCGGTTTAAGCTCACCAGCTGCTCCTTGGAAACCCTATACATGGTCACTATGGGTCAGAATCGACTCAACAGCACTTAACAACAATAACAATGACCCTACAAAGGGTTCCCAAGGAGCAGCTGATGCGTTTGAAACACCAACCTTGTGGTTAGCAGTCCAGTGCTGATCCTACAGTGCCACACCAGGACTCCATCTCACAGTACTTATTATATAATATAAGTAACTATTTCCTACTTTGAAAGTCCACAGTCAGTTGAAGGTCACATGTATGTTTAATAAAATCATTTTTTAAAGGGCATTAAAATTAAAACAAAGGCTTTCTTTGTTGATGACATAGCTAAATGAACCCACTTTATTTAGAAAAAAATTCAATTTACCAACACTGGCTTTCAGAAACTTATTTCCAATTCTCTGGTCCATTCCAATGGCTGTTGCTACTTCTTCTACATCAGCTCCTGTTGCTTCACAAAGGGCACTTATAGAGTTAATGCTGCTGATTCTCTGGGCAAGAAAAGCATTTGCTGCCTTAAAAAAAAGAAAAAGAAAAAGAAAATTATGATGATCTAAAATTATAATTCTACACATATGTTACATTTCATTAAGTTGATTCAAATTACTGAGGGAGAGGTAAAAGACGCTGAAGGATTCAAATCTAAGGAGGCATCAAATGAAGTTTGTAAAAGACCATGTTTAAATGAGAAAAAACAGAATATTAAGGAAGAAGGAAATTGTGATAAAAATATTATTTTAAAGTACGATCCAATTTATCCTGTTTTTTATTAAAATTTTAGAATTTCCCATAATTTTTATACTCTGATATTTGATACCCCTTATGAAAATTATTTCATACTTTGAAAGTATAATAATATAGTGCTCAAAAGAATAACCTTTTATTAATGTTAAGAAAGTACTATCAACCAGCTGAGATCAAAAGGGCGGCATGTGCCCAAAGACAAAGTTCAGATTAGGAAAGAAGGAGGAATGGAAACAGGAAACACATGGAGGAAGAGAGATAAGAGATGCTGCATTATGGAGATTGTAAAGAATGAGATGTAACAAAATGTATATGAATTGTTGAAAATAAAACTGATTGGTTCTGTAAATACTCACCCAATTCCCAATCAAAAGAAAAATCTTCACCCAATTCCCAATTAAAAAAAAAAAAAGAATAAATTATCTGCGTAGTTTATCAGTTTAAGACAAGTAAGTACTTGGCTTTAAATTTAAGAGAATTGAATGCTAAGTACTAACCAGTTTGGAAAGCTCTGAAGACCAAGTATTGGTGGTGAGGATCTTTTCTCTGGGAACCCAGTGTTCATACACAGCACACAGTGCCTGCACAGCACTCTGGCCTTCGGGGGTCTCATCCCCTCCAATCAGTACTCTGTCCGGGTTCTTCAGGTCCTTGATTGCTGTCCCCTCTGCCAAGAATTCAGGGTTAGACAGCACCTAGAATTCCATTGTAAATGAAAGTTATAAGCTAAGATTAATTACAGGCTACTTTAATATCTCAATGTTTATGTCTAAAGCAGCAGATTCTAATGCTTCTTTTTTTATACCTGTAAGTTCAAGTTGGGTTTTGTGTTCGCGTCAAATATGCGACGAATACTTTCTGCTGCCCGCACTGGAACTGTGCTTTTCTCAGTCACAATTTTGTACCCATGTGAGTTTTGCACAATGCGTCTGGCACAAGCTTCAATGTACTTCAGATCTGCAGCCCGGCCTTTCCCCATTCCATAGGTTTTTGTTGGAGTGTTCACCTGATGAAAGCACAGGGTATAAAGAACAGAGTGTCTGTGAGATACTCAGTGATTCTCAGGTATGCCTTGTAGCACCAGCTACCCAGTCACGTGGAAGTTAACCACTATTACCAGCTGCCCTGGTTTAACCTTCTACTGTTGTTGTTGTTGTTATTAAATGCCATCCAACTGGGTCTGATTCACAGTGACTCTGTATAGGGTTTTTGAGGAGCAACTGGTGGGTTTGAATTGCCAACCTTACGGTTAGCAGTCCAGTGCATATCCTACAGCATCACACCACAACTTCAACCCTGTAATAGTTCCATGGAAATAATACATTTCATAAATATAATCAACAAGAGCAACAGCTTGATTCCTGAAGTCTCTGGGGGACACATTAAATAAGTCTTTGTTGAGAAGCTACTCTATATGTGCCAGACACCAGGGTAGGCAGATTCCATGGCTTTACGGAGTTCAAAATCTGAAATGAAATATAAGAGATCTCTTAATTTTTCTCTTTAGTATATGTAACATACTGTCATAGTCTTTAGAGCTAAATTTAAATGTCTTTCTTATTCCCCCCACTTTTTTTTATAAGACTGCATTGTTAGCCTTTAGAATATTTGTATATCATTCATAAATGCTTTCCTGGTTTGTTTGTTTTTAAATAAACTATAGTATAGACTATATTAAGTCTTAAACAAAGTAAACACAGGACAAAGATAAATATAGATCACCTGGGTGAGGTGTAAAACCCACCACTGTGAGTTTACAAAGTTCTATCTTCATGTGGTGACCTTTTATAGTGCACAATCATGACTGATGGCAGCTTTTCCTGGCTCTTTAAAGGTATAAATTACCTAACATGGTCAGCATATAGAATACTATGCAGAGAAGCCTTTCAGATAAAAGAATCATGGGAAGGACTTCCGGTAAGATGGCATACTAGGCATATACACTACATGGACCCTCTACAACACAGATACACAAAACCAAATTAAACAGACACAGATGAAAATCCTGGAACCCTGAACTTCAGAAGAAAGTTTAAAGAAGTGGATTGAGTGCTTGCTGGCAGGAGAAAATGAGTAGGGATGGCAAGAAATGGAGACTGACTGGTGACCAGCCGGCTAGACGCAGCACCAACATCTTGAACCTTTGTGAACAGCTTTGGCAACAGATT